TGCCTAAAAAAGCGCAAAAATATACATGGAGCAGGGAAGGAGGACAGTATAGGGCGCCTTGCATCGTCCACCTTCTCTCGTGTTTTTTATGCTTTTTTAGTGCTTGAAACTTGCGGTTTCTGTTAAATTCTACTGCGTTTTAATGCGGCAGCTTTATAGGCCTAACCACGCTCAAGGTCATCTCCTCTTCCTTAAGGTCATGTCCTCATGGTCGTGCCCTCAAGGTCGTGTCCTCGATGTCACGCAACACCCGTGGCTAAAGCTCAATGTCGCGGGCGTTACACCCGTGGCTGAAGCCAGAGCCGTGTACCGGGGTGAGACAGGTGAAACAGGTTTCGGAGCAATTTTTGGAGCAAAAAAATTTGAATTTTGGAGCAGCTTAGAAGCACAACATTCTCGTTTTGGAGCAACAGTTTATGCTTTTTGGAGCGACTTCCAAGCACAAAAGTCTACAGTTTGGAGCGGATTAAGAGCAGAAAATGTTAGATTAGCTTACCAGCAATTTAAATCATAAAAAATCTGATTTCAATCACATGAATTTGATTTTTCTTTTTTAATCATTATTTTTTCCCACCTTGCTGGTTCCAATAAGTCATCAGCGCCGATACTCACCGAGATAAAAAAAAAAAAAATATATATATATATATATATATATATATATATATATATATATATATATATATATCAGGGTGTCGAACCGGAACCGAACCGAACCGAAAACCGGAACCGAACCGCTATTTTTTCCGGAACTGAACCCGAACCCGAACCGTCATATTGTTATCGCGATGAACCCGAACCGGAACTGAACCGGGAAAAAAATAACGGTTACCGGCTCATGTCAAAACGGTTCGGCCACGCGCTGTTGACAATGAATGTGCTATCAATGCCATTTGTTTTTAAGTGCCGTCAACTGACACACACCTCGCTTGCATATTTTTCTTCTCCACTCAGTCTTAGGAATATAAACGCTGCATCCCTGAATCTTGACAAACGCTGCATCCATGAATCTTGACATAGGAACCAGTATTGCGCTGGTCGCGGCTTGCACGGAAGAAAAAGAACTGGAAGGCTGTGAAAAAAAGAAAAAAAATATCGCGTCACGGGATTTCATTTTCCTACAATCTCGTAAATCCTAAATGCTGCTGTGTGCTCATTTCATAACACGTTTCTAGAACGCGCGAGTTCTTGAAGCTTGCTTCCATCGGAATGAGAAAAGAAAAGGCTGTGGAGTTTGATAATAATGCATCCTGTTTCGTATTAGCCCCGTGCGCGACCGAAAGCGTCGCTGTGGTCGGCCTTCCACGATTGGCCCAAAAGCTGACTATGACGTCGGAAAGGGTATACCATCGACGGAAATAAGAGGAATGAAAGAACTTTAATTTCGACGGTGTTGGCAGTGTTGCTTTGAGAGCGCAATGATTTCAGGCTTCCACCATGCTATTTACAAACACCATCGAACTTGTTGTTCGCAAGGTAATGACGTCACAAGGGGGAATCATAGGAGGGCGCCACCAAAACATCTCGCCGCTAATAGGCACTTCGAAGCTAACATATTTGTGAGACAGCGAACTCTTCTATTTTAATATTTATCCTATTAAGTCCTTCTGGCGTTGCGTTCGGTGAAGTGTTTTTCATATTCCGTATCTTGTTTAATGAGGCTAGTTCAAATAAAAAAAGCTGTATTTTCTCCCCACTGTTCCTTCAATTGCTTACACGCCGAGGTGGCGGGATAGTTAGCGAGTTCTACTTGTAAGTGGGTTTGTAAGGAGGTCGCGGATTTTACAGCTACTGCGTCGGACCCAATTAGATGAAGTCCGAATGCGTAAACGTCGGTGAGGTAACCTTTGAGTGCACATGAAGAAACCATTCCTGGTAGAAATTCCTGAGCCTTACACTTACACGCCTTACAAAAAAGTCCCAACAAAAGTGACGGAGTCACAAGGTAAATAGTGAATTGGTAGAAAAACTATGAGCAGCCCATGCACGCTAAATGTGGGTGTATGACCGATTCATTCGATTGTTCATGCACTGGGGTGCTATGTTGCGCTTTTTGCACTCCCAGGAGACTTGGAAGAGGGAAGTGACGTCAGCGACACAGCAAATGCAGATTGGATGTTGACAGAAGAAAACGAAATCAACACCCAATCTGCGTTTGCTGTGTCGTTGACGTCACTTCCCTCTCCCTAGTCTCCTGGGAGTGCAAAAAGCGCAACGTAGCCCCCCTGGTCTGTGATAACCGAAAGTACTCACGGCGACGGCGCCGTCCATTTTGACGAGAAGATTACGGACACGAATGAACAATTACACAATGGAGGCGCTCAATGGCACTTTTAAGAAAACGTTTACTCTCAAAGTGAAAGAAATAATTTGGTGTGCTCATCTTGATAGCCTGTGCGTCGTGCCTCCCGCGGCCAGACAGCGAGGCCGCGTGACAGCGCACCGGTAGCATTCGCAAATGACAGCGAAAAATAGTAAATAGGAAAATAGGGAAAAAGACCACGTATCATTGGTTTGGAAGGGTAGGACCCTGTTCCCGTGCCGTGTAGCTTACTACGACGAGATTGAATCCTGCCAACCAGACTCTCGTTTCCCGCTAAATCTAGCGTCGCCGCAAGCATTTTCTTTTTACTTACTTTGGCGCACTGTGGAGCGATTTTGACCAATTTCGCGTTCTTGGCCCAACTAGGCGGAGAAAATTGGGTTTGTATCAAAATGGCGTAATTGGCGCAGCTGTGACAGCACTGCGTGCATAAAGAGAGTTTGGTCAGTGGGAGGCGTGGGCAGAGCCAGGGCGTGCACCAGAAGCAGTAAGAGGGCTCGGCATGGTCTCTTGGCCTACACTCTAAGAAAAAGTGAGCACCCCCCCCCCCCCCCCCCCCCCTAGTAATCATGCGTTTTGACGGCTGTAACTACCCCACAGGCTTATTTAACTACCCACTGGGCTCGAGCCATTGAGCGTTACCATCCTGTTGGCAAGTGACAAGCATGGGGTAGTCACGGCTTATAAACTCTTGAATTGAACATTCAAGTACATGCAGCCGTTCAATAGTAAAAGTCACTTCAAAAATCTCAAAAAGTACTTGAAACTTGTTTTCTTAGTGCGTTGGTTATCATTTATTCAAATTTGAACCGGTCGAAACAGGCGTGTGGCTCAGTTCGCCTAAACTGGCAGAAAAGAAACATGCCAAAGAGTACAGGCAACCTTGGTAGGCACCTACTAAAACCCGAGGCAGATAAAAAGTATCGCGGTTGTCCGTTTTGGTTCTGTCGCGGGTTTTACCATGTACTGCTAGTAAACAGTTGGCAGCTGGCGTCGTGCTCGAGGAATTGAACGAAATCTCTAGAAAAGCACAGGTAGCTACGCACAGGCGTGAGTTGACTGGAATGTTCACCGGACGAGATACTCTTGTCATCTTTTATTGTGCGGTTCAGTAAAGAGCGTGATCTCGTTAAAGGTGTGATCGGTCAGTTCTGCGTGCAGATCAGTTGCAAATGGCCTCCTCGGTTCCGCCGAACTTGCACGCCTGTCATACCCAATTTTTTTGCTTTCAAGTGCAGTGAAGTATGAAGCATTGAACACCACGACTGAGGCCGGACAGGACGAACGTACACAGATATCTGGGATCATGCCCGTGTATTTGAGTAGAGTAAAGCTATACGCACTCCGGAGTGCATTTCGTACGCAATGGCTATACGCACTCCGCGCAGAGCTCATGCCGCTCGGGCCACCCTTTTCGAACGGTGCGTGTATCACTGGGGAGCTCGTTAACACAGCCCCCCGCCCGCGTTCACGCCACATCGCGGCGACAGTATCGGCCTCCGGAGAGGGAGACGCACACCATTTAGTTCTGCGAAGTTTCGTCGACAACATCATCGCAAAAAAAGAAATGTCGTAAATATCGGCAATGCCCCGGCAAAACAAAATGTTTTGAAAAAAAAAATAAAAAGTTGGCTTACCGCGGATCGGATCCGCGCCCACTTGCGTACAAAGCGGACACCTTAACCCGCTTAGAAAACTCGTTGTGAGCATTCCTTTTATAACAGTTCAGCGGAGTGCGTATAGCCATTTCGACCGAAATGCACTCCGGAGTGCGTATAGCTTTACTCATTTGAGTATTTCTCTGTCTTGGATATATGATTCGCCTTCACTGGCTCATTTGGCACATTTCATCGAGTATACTCGATAAAAAATGCTTCAAACAAGTGAGTGTCATCCAAGGTGGAGTACTTTGAAGGGGACTAGGATTTCAGGCCTTTCGGCACGCGTTCCTTTTAACTATATAAAGGATTTCAAGTAAATTTCCAAAAATAAGGCATACACGTGCTATTCGGTTTAGATTTTTTTTTTTTTTAGAAACGGTATTGCTGGAGAAGCCAGCAGGTGCAGCGCAGAGAACTATATTCTCGGCGTTCTTTGATGCTTGAGGCCGGTTCAGACACTTGAGTTTGAATGCGTTTGACAGCGTTGCGTCGAGAACCGAAAGCGACTCACCGGCACATTTGTGCTTCGTAAGAAGCGTGGAATCCAATTCAAGGAATCGTCTTGGCACGCGATATAACAGCAGGGATATCCTGGTTTCTCGCAGCCGCAACGCAGTCAAGCGCAACTGTCTGAACCAGGCTTCAGATAATTTAGCATACGTATTTCGCGTTCGCTGTAGGTGAAGGCACGGGCCCGAAAACGGCAATTCTGCACTGTCCTCTTGGCGCGAGCGCGAGCGCATAGAACGCATATTTGAAAGACACGCGCTTGAGCAGAAACAATTGTAGCGAAAACCCCCGCCGAGGTCACGCTACCCCCCGATGACGTCATCGTCCCTGATGACGTCACCGGCATCCGCATCGTCAACATCACTGATGACGTCATCGCCACTGATGACGTCACCGGCATCCGCGTCGTCATCGTCACTGATGACGTCACCGACATCCGCATCGTCATCGCCATCATCACTGATGACGTCATTGTGGCTCGTACGCAAGTAGCGAGTTCAACAACGTTTATTGCACGCACCGTGAGCCCTTATATACAGTATGCCCTAGTGGCGCAGCTGCTGTGCCGATGACAAGGCTGACGATGACAAGGCTGATTTGGTATCAGCTAGCGACGCTGCGCTACATCTTCCCTCTTTCAAACAAAACAAAATTAACCAAGAGAAAAACAATATACAAAAAATTAAGGAATAGAAAATAGTACGCTTGCAGGATCACGCTTAAAGTTCTGGTCTTGGGTATCTGACGGGGCTCCGCCGTTGTCTTGAACTCCTCCTGAGCTCCTGGGTCGGAGGGTCTTGTGATGGTGGGGCTCCCGTTGAGGGTTCTTCCCTCACCTGGCGGCGAGTGGATTCAGCAGCCGCAGTGGTGACAAGTTGCTGTTGCCGAGGCGGCAACACGCGCAGGTGCTCTCTCGTTCTGCGTAGCACACGTCCGTCACCAGTTTCGATCACAAAGGAGCGCGGAGGCCCCGCACGCCTCATGACGACTGCCGGAGACCACGTGTGTGAAATGGTGTCAAATGCAGATACTTGCTGACCATCTTGTAGTTCCGGAAGGGCCTTTGTTCTGTTGTAGAAGGTCCGCTGCTTGCTGCGGATCTCTTGTAGTCGTTTGTGCACCTCTTTGGGCGGTACGATGGCTGGTTCCAGGCAGCAGTCGGGAACCGGAAGCAGTGTGCGTGTCTGACGACCCATTAGCCTCTGTACTGGTGACTTGAGCAGGTTATCCCTTGGGCTGTTGCGCCATTCCAGGAGGGCGCTGCAGAAGTCGAGGGTATTGTAGGAGCACCTCGTTAGCAGTTTCTTTGCCTCTTGTACGGCTCGCTCAGCCATTCCGTTGGAGCGAGGGTGGTGAGGGCTTGACGTGACGTGAATGATTCGAAACTTACTCACAAAGTCCTTGAAGTTGTAACTATTGAAGGGGGGCCCATTGTCACTGCACAGCTTGGCTGGTATCCCATGAGTAGCGAAGACTTCTGCACAGGCGGATACCACTGAAGATGCCGTGGACTGTCGCAGTTCCTTGATCTCGAAAAAGAAAGAGTAGAAGTCAACAATTATCAAAAAGTCCGATTGTTGTGGTAGAACAAGTCTAGCCCCACCAGCTGCCATGGTAGGTTGGGTAGTTCATGGCTCAGTAATGGTAATCTTGCGTTTCTGGGCTTATGCTTCGTGCAGACCCCACATGACTTTGCAAGAGCTTCAATGTCGCATGACATGGTCGGCCAATACATCACTTCTCTGGCGCGCATCTTCATTTTTGCTTCACCCCCGTGTGCGGCATGCAAAAGTTTCAAAATCTCCGTCCTCTTGGCTTTTAGAATTACCACTTTGTTACTCTTGCAGACCAGCCCATCTTCCACGTGCATCTCGTCTCTGTAGTTCCAGTACGTTTGAAGTTCCTCCGGGACGTCTCGTTTCTCAGCTGGCCAGGATGCTGATGCATACTCTCGGAGCTGGACGAAAGCCGCGTCGTTTTCTGTCGCCTGGAGGATGTCGTGGAGCCGTGCATCTGAAACTGATAGCGTAGAAACAATGTTGACTTGAAACTGGTCGCTTTCGTCTTTTAGCATAGTTTTGGTTGGGAACCTTGACAACGCGTCCGCTAGAAAAAGTTCCTTCCCTGGCTTGTACTGCACGGTAATGGGGTATCGCTGATGCATTAGCCTCATCCTTTGTAGGCGGAGCGGGCGGTCACAGAGGGGTTTCCTGAATATTGCTTCCTGTGGCTTATGATCCGACTCTACAGTCACAGATGAGTGCCCTAAAATATAATCTTTAACCTTGCTGCATCCGTGTACTATAGCGAGTGCCTCTTTTTCAATCTGGGCGTATTTTTGCTGAGTATCGGTGAGGGAGCGTGATGAGTAGGCGATAGGATGTCCGCTCTGAATAATCACCGCCCCGACGCCGGTTTGGCTTGTGTCTACTGACAACGTGACTGGTTTACCTTGCTCAAAATACGCAAGTACCGGCGCCTTGATAAGCGACTTTCTAAGCGTTTTAAAACTGCTTTGTTGGCGCTCAGTCCAAACCCAAACTTGATGCGCTTCCATGCGGTCCAACTCTGCCTTGACTCTCTCCTGGAGAGCCACAGGTATTCGTCTTGCTGCCTTGACGGCGCTCTTGGATCCTGGTTGTAGCCTCATATCGTAGACCACACCCTTCAGCTGGCCAAGCCCTTGAAAAACAGCTTCAAAAGGTCGTGCTGCACCGTATAGCTCTGCGGTGCTCACACCTGCAACGCGAGTAATCAGTCCGAGGCGTTCTGCTACACTGCCACTCAAGGTGACTGGAACCTCTTGGCGTACAACAAAAAACCCAGCGTGACATTTTTTGTCCTGATTGCGTATATCGAGGCAAATTCTTTCTGGTGCCTTTTCTGCATGACCGAAGAACGTGTTTAGGGTGACGTCGCACTTTACTGTTGGCTTCGTCGTAACTTGGCCTAGTGCGGCCCTGGAGATGACACAACAATTGGCTCCGGTATCTATTTTGCAATGAACGGGAACGCCTTCTAGTGTCACCGTAGCCGTCCATAGATCCTCGCGAGATACAGCACCGACAGTTAGCGCTTCCAAGGAGTATGTCTCGTCATCGCTAGCCACAACCTCGTGTACTTGTTGTACGGGGGCCCTTTTCCGCCCTGACTTGCAAACTTTAGCGAAGTGATTAAGGCTTCCGCACTTGTTGCATTTCTTTCCGGCTGCGGGGCAAACCTTAGTTTTGTGCTTCGTAAACCCACACTTTTGGCACGATGATCCGATTTCTTGAACTAAGTTGACTTCTTTTTCGCGTTCCTTTGCTCCGCTTTGTATTGTATTGCATCGTTCTTCGCCCTCTTCCCAGGCTCTGCATCTTTCCACCGCTTTGGTGTAGGACGGGTTGTCGGATATGAGCTTTTGCTGAAGTTTCTTGTCCCGAACGCCCAGAATGATTCTACTTCTAACTAGACGTTCTTCAATATTCCCAAACTCGCAGTTGTTTGCCAAAATACGAATGTCAGTCAACCATTCGTTGACTGACATTCGTCAACCATTCGTTGTGTTTGGTACGAGGGACCATTCTGGTCCCTCGTACCAAACACAAACTCGTTGTAAGTTAGGTTTGTAGCCGGCTTGTAGAAGCTATCAAACTTCTCAATGATAGTCGTCACGTCTTGCCTTTCCTCTTGGTTTACAAACGTAAATGTACTGAACGATTTCCTTGCATCTTCCCCGATTATCATTAACAAGGTCGCCGCCTGGACTTCTTTCGGTTGATGGCTGAGCAGGGCGGCCGTAGAAAACAGTTGAAACTCACATTTCCAAGTTGTCCAGTTCCGCCACAGGTCTCCCGTCGTGTCCAGGAGTTTTGGGGGCTGCAGCAGCGTTGTACAGGGCAGCACGATGGCCTGCTGCGGAGACGCCATCGTCCGGGTGGTGTGGCTGTCGCCTACTTTCCGTCGCTCGGTGGCTGCTTCCTTGATCCGCGGCGCTCGGGCGATAAAGCACTTCTGACACCATGTGGCTCGTACGCAAGTAGCGAGTTCAACAACGTTTATTGCACGCACCGTGAGCCCTTATATACAGTATGCCCTAGCGGCGCAGCTGCTATGCCGATGACAAGGCTGACGATGACAAGGCTGATCTCGTGTCAGCTAGTGACGGTGCGCTACAGTCATCAGTGACGTCACCGATGTCGTCACCGGCATCCTTATCGTCATCATCACTGATGACGTCACTAATGACGTCACCGACATCCGCATCGTCATCGTCATCATCACTGGGGACGTCATCAATAACGTCACTAATGACGTCATCGGTATCCGCATCGCCATCGTCACTGATGATGTCATCAGTGACGTCACTGATGACATCATCGGAATGTTCATCGTCACGTGACCCCCCAAGGTCACGTGACCCCCCCCCCCCCCCCCCAGTACCCTTCCCTCCTCCTCCTCAAGAGCTGCGCGCTAATTCGGCGTTGCAGGGAGTTGTACAAAAACTTGAAAGTATAAAACAGAGAGGACGAGGACGGGAACAGGACATCTTTCATCCATCTTTCATTTTGAAAGATGTCCTGTTCCCGTCCTCGTCCTCTCTGTTTTATACTTTCAAGTTTTGTATCTATTAACCATCACGCTCGTTTTCAATTGTAGCAGGGAGTTGTAAACGGCTTTCACTTTCTTCTTTAATTTTTTTCTGGGACTTCTATTGCGTGGGATGAAAAACAAACGCGTGTTTCATAGGTCATTAAAGGGGCCATGTAACGAATTTTGGGTTGGGATGAATGATTTTAAATTGGGAGTTTACTAATCGCATATCGTTTAGTTGGCCAAAAGAAAGAGGCTAGAAAGTCAAAAGCCAGCTTTTCGGTACGATCATTTGAAAATATAACGGACTATTTTGTACCTTCTTGCCTTCGAAAGCTCTCCGCCTTTTCACTATGATACATCCGCGGTTCCAAAAGCGCGTCACCGGCGCCAAATTGACGTCAGCAGAGCCCAGCTCACGCATTGGACACGAGAACTGCGTATGCGCTCGTCAACAATCAATCCGTCGACGAATATTTGGATTCGCGTTCGTGGCCAATGAGTGCCCTGACGGAACTTATTGTCACTGGGGAATGACAAGTTCTATGGTGTACATAAAAAGCACGGTGGAAGCTAGGAGTCATCGCACCGGTGCCGAAGGAATGTCACGACCACGTGATTTCACAATTCGCATTTGAGTTGAGGATTAAAGCTAAGGAGGAAGAAGTAGGAAAATCGTTTCATGATCCGTTTAATGTCAGCGATCCGTTCTAAGCGGTATTTTCGCAAAGTACGAAAATTTTTGCATCGCCCCTTTAGCATACCTGCAGAAAACGGGAGTATGTATTGGGTCTTGTATAGCTCCCGTACTCAGTGACCTTTTTCTGGCATTTCACAACAGATTATTGCAGCATAACCTTGACCAGTCCAAAGTAGTGCGTGTGTTTCGGTACGTGGATGATTACCTGATTTTACTTCACAGTTGTGACAGTGTCTAGGTGGCGCTTGGGCGCAGCCATCATCAACATCATGATTATCGGCCGTCGCACAAACCCGACGGCCCAGCGACGGCCGATAATGCTAGAATGTTATGGCGAATTCCACTGGGCGTTTTGGAGCGCGCCAGGATCAGTCGACCAGATCCGGATTGGAGCACAAGATCCGAACGGGGTCGCGCCGCCTACGGATCCCCAGTGGAACATGACCACTGCTCCGGGATCGGCGGATGCCTTCCCGTCATTCAACTGCCCGGGAATCCCCTTTTCGCGGCCGCCGCGATCGTTTCGAAGACGTTTTCGCAATCGCGGCGCTAACACGTGTTCGATGCACGAGTGGCAGGAATGGCTCAGGCGCCTCTAGCAAAGATTGCCGGAATGCCCGTGGCGCGGCAAATACCTTCTCTTCTCCTTCCTGGAAAACGAACCGGCTGTCGAGCCAATGGGTAAGCAAGCGGCCATTACGAATTCTTCTGATGTCGAGACAATCTAGGAGCCCAGCCCGCGACGTGCTTCTTCTTCTGAGGCGAGATGCCCCACGAGAAAAGAAGTCACGTGTGTGCGCCGAGGGCTTGCCCGGTTGGCTTCCGGTTAATTAAAATTAACTGTTGGGCTAGTTCGTTAAACATCTTAACTACAAAAGCGCAAAGGACAAGGACAGGACAAAGAATGAACAGGACAAGCGCTTCCGGTTAAATCTGCCGAAATCGTGGGAGTGACCTTTCTCGTGGCGAATTCCACGGGTCGTTTTGGAGCGCGCCGGGATCGACTTTTTCGGAGCGAGCCTATTTCACTGGGCAATCGGGATCAAGACGAACGTGTTACACTGGTCGTTTTGGATTACCTCCCGCTCCAGATCTCGATCTGGATCCGAGAAAAGTCGCTCCCCCGATTTTGGCGGATTCAACCGGAAGCCAGCCGGGTCAGCCCTCGGCGCACACACGTGACTTCCTTTCTCGAGGACATCTTGCCTGATCTCGCCCCAGAAGAAATCGTAATGGCCGCTTGCTTACCTCTTGGCTCGACAAGCGGTTCGTTATCCAGGAAGGAGAAGAGAACAGAAGGTTTTGCCGCGCTACGGGCATTCCGGCAATCTTTGGATTTTTCGCTCTCCTTACGCCTGAGCTTCGGCTCACACTTCCGTAAGGACATCATGACGACCCTCGGCACCGTCGGAACCCCTCAGGACCTCCCTCTACCTGATGATATGGATTCTCAGCCCATTGAGGCGCCTACGCCGGCTGCAACCGCCTCGCTAACCCTAAACCCGAACGCATCACCTACCGCCGTTGCTGCCGCTAACGCAGGCATCTCACTGCCTCACGCATCACTCAGTGCCGCGTCGAGGCAAACTGCCGTCACTACTCGGAATCCATTCTCTGTCCTTGGTGATGATGATCCCACGGGTGAGTTCCCCCCTCTTGGCAGTCCGTACCACATCCGCTACGCCGCCGATGGAACTAAACGTGCTCGCAACACGCACCTCGGCTCCTCCACCGTTAAGTTCACCGCCACACCCGCGTGCCGCCCATTTCACTCCAATGATGCCTCGTCCGCTCTAGAGGATGGTTGGCATACCGTGTCTCGCCGCCGTAAGACGGCCCAGTCTGGGATGCCTCAAGCCGTTTCGCCCCAAAGCGAGTTTCTCCACACCGTCATATTACGACCAACCCAACCATGTCGGATCATGGACGCACCTTTCCTCACCATTGACTCCGCCATCGCTACACAAACGGGCCTCCAATCTCACCCGTCATTACAACCCCGTTACCAAGTACGGTACCTCGACCGCAGTAACCAACTCGCGGTCGATGCCACCTCTTCTCAAGTGCGTGACGCTTTACTCAAGATAACATACATACCGATCGACAAGAAACAAGTCCCCGTCCAAGCCTACGAGGCTATTCGACGCGGCCAGACTCGCGGCTTTATCAAAAACGCTGGTGGTATGGATTCCGCGAAGCTCCTGCAGCATCTTCATTGTCGGAAATGTACCATCCTCCAGGCACGACCTCTCGGCACCTCTGGGTCGGCGTTAATCACGTTCGAGGGCACCAGCCTCCCGTTCCGCGTGGGCCTGGGCTCATTCACGGTGCGTGTATATCCTTTCCATCGACAAACTCATGTATGTGACACCTGCCATTGCATCGGGCACCGCAGTACGCAATGCCCTAACAGTGACAAAGCCCGCTGTGCCATGTGCGGCGCACCAAAGCACGGCACAGACCAGTGCTCGTCTGCTCAACCCAAGTGCCGGAACTGCGGCGGGACCCATCTCGCCACGGCCCGCTCCTGCCCAAAAAGAAAAGAAATTCAACGCATGATGGCTCAACGAGACCGCGGGGCTCCACAGCGTCGTCCGCCACCCGGAGGATTCCCGAAGGAGCAGCCTCCTCCACCACCACCACCACCACCACCACCACCACCACCACCACCACCACCACCACCACCACCACCACCATCGGTGCCCCCGACTCCAACTCTCACACTTCCAGCTATGCCGCCAGTTGCGCTAACGATCCCAATAGCCTCATCGACAACTACTACGCCCAAGACGGACTCCCGCCCGATTCTCGCCGCTAAATCCCATGTGCCGGCCCTCAGCGCTTTTGTCACCCACACGCAGCTCCCTACATCGGAACCGCCTCGCACATCCTTTGCAGAAGCCGTGAAGGCTGTCAACACCACTCGCGAGACGCCCGCCCCAATTCCGGCAGTAGACGACTTAACGGCCATGACACAACAAATGGCCCTTCTCACAAAACAAACGCCAGCTGCCTTGCAACAGCTTGCTGCCATGCAGCAGTCAATCTCTACATTGGTGGATACCTGCACCCGTGC